TAAACTGTTGTATTCTGAGCACCTCTGCAAAAACAGTGATAATGTGCGAGTGTGGTGAAAGTGTTGAATGATGATGAAAGTATTTTCTTTTTGGGGATTTTCTTTCTTTTTTGGGTCACCCTGCCTCGGTGGGAGATGGCCGACTTGTTAAAAAAAAAAAAAATATATATTATATTTATATATATATATAATATTTTATATATATATATATATAATATATATATATTTTTTTTTTTTTTTTTTTTTTTTTTTTTCAACAAGTCGGCCGTCTCCCACCGAGGCGGGTGACCCAAAAAAGAAAGAAAATCCCCAAAAAGAAAATACTTTCATCATCATTCAACACTTTCACCACACTCGCACATTATCACTGTTTTTGCAGAGGTGCTCAGAATACAACAGTCTAGAAGCATACACATATAAAGATACACAACATATCCCTCCAAACTGCCAATATCCCAAACCCCTCCTTTAAAGTGCAGGCATTGTACTTCCCATTTCCAGGACTCAAGTCCGACTATATGAAAATACCGTTTTCCCTGAATCCCTTCACTAAATATTACCCTGCTCACACTCCAACAGATCGTCAGGTCCCAAGTACCATTCGTCTCCATTCACTCCTATCTAACATGCTCACGCACGCTTGCTGGAAGTCCAAGCCCCTTACCCACAAAACCTCCTTTACCCCCTCTCTCCCAACCCTTTCGGACGACCCCTACCCCGCCTTCCTTCCCCTATAGATTTATATGCTTTCCATGTCATTCTACTTTGATCCATTCTCTCTAAATGACCAAACCACCTCAACAACCCCTCTTCTCCCCTCTGACTAATACTTTTATTAACTCCAAAACCTTCTCCTAATTTCCACACTCCGAATTTTCTGCATAATATTACACCACACATTGCCCTTAAACAGGACATCTCCACTGCCTCCAACCGTCTCCTCGCTGCTGCATTTACCACCCAAGTTTCCCACACCCATATAAGAGTGTTGGTACTACTATACTTTCATACATTCCCTTCTTTGCCTCCATAGATAACGTTTTTTGACTCCACATATACCTCAACGCACCACTCACCTTTTTTCCCTCATAAATTCTATGATTAACCTCATCCTTCATAAATCCATCCGCCGACACGTCAACTCCCAAGTATCTGAAAACATTCACTTCTTCCATACTCCTCCTCCCCAATTTGATATCCAAATTTTTTCTTTATCTAAATCATTTGACACCCTCATCACCTTACTCTTTCTATGTTCACTTTCAACTTTCTACCTTACACACATTCCCAAACTCATCCACTAACCTTTGCAATTTTTCTTTAGAATCTCCCATAAGCACAGTATCATCAGCAAAAAGTAACTGTGTCAATTCCATTTGGAATTTGATTCCCATAATTTAATCCCACCCCTCTCCCAAACACCCTAGCATTTATTTCCCTTAACAACCCCATCTATAAATATATTAAACAACCATGGTGACATTACACATCCCTGTCTAAGACCTACTTTTACCGGGAAATAGTCTCCCTCTCTTCTACACACCCTAACCTGAGCCTCACTATCTTCATAAAAACTCTTTACAGCATTTAATAACTTACCACCTATTCCATATACTTGCAACATCTGCCACATTGCTCCTCTATCCACTCTATCATATGCCTTTTCTAAATCCATAAATGCAATAAAAACTTCCCTACCTTTATCTAAATACTGTTCACATATATGCTTCAATGTAAACACTTGATCTACACATCCCCTACCCACTCTGAAACCTCCTTGCTCATCCGCAATCCTACATTCTGTCTTACCTCTAATTCTTTCAATTATAACCCTACCGTACACTTTTCCTGGTATACTCAGTAAGCTTATTCCTCTATAATTTTTACAGTCTCTTTTGTCCCCTTTCCCTTTATATAAAGGGACTATACATGCTCTCCGCCAATCCCTAGGTACCTTCCCCTCTTTCATACATTTATTGAACAAAAGTACCAACCACTCCAACACTATATCCCCCCCTGCTTTTAACATTTCTGTCATGATCCATCAGTACCAGCTGCTTTACCCCTTTCATTTTACGTAATGCCTCACGTACCTCCCCCACACTTACATTCTGCTCTTCTTCACTCCTAAAAGATGGTATACCTCCCTGACCAGTGCATGAAATTACTGCCTCTGTTTCTTCCTTAAACATTTAAAAGTTCCTCAAAATATTCTCGCCATCTACCTAATACCTCCATCTCCCCATCTACTAACTCCCCTACTCTGTTTTTAACTGACAAATCCATATTTCCCCCTTGGCTTTCTTAACTTGTTTAACTCACTCCAAAATTTTTTCTTATTTTCATTAAAATTTCTTGACAGTGCCTCTCCCACTCTATCATCTGCTCTCCTTTTGCACTCTCTCCCCAAACTCTCTTTACCTTTCTTTTACTCTCCATATATTCTGCTCTTCTTATAACACTTCTGCTTTGTAAAAACCTCTCATAAGCTACCTTTTTCTCTTTTATCACACCCTTTACTTCATCATTCCACCAATCACTCCTCTTTCCTCCTGCACCCACCCTCCTATAACCACAAACTTCTGCCCACATTCTAATACTGCATTTTTAAAACTATTCCAACCCTCTTCAACCCCCCCATTACTCATCTTGCACTATCCCACCTTTCTGCCAATAGTCGCTTATATCTCGCCCGAACTTCCTCCTCCCTTAGTTTATACACTTTCACCTCCCTCTTACTTGTTGTTGCCACCTTCCTCTTTTCCCATCTACCTCTTACTCTAACTGTAGCTACAACTAAATAATGATCCGATATATCAGTTGCCCCTCTATAAACATGTACATCCTGGAGCCTACCCATCAACCTTTTATCCACCAATACATAATCTAATAAACTACTTTCATTACGTGCTACATCATACCTTGTATATTTATTTATCCTCTTTTTCATAAAATATGTATTACTTATTACCAAATTTCTTTCTACACATAGCTCAATTAAAGGCTCCCCATTTACATTTACCCCTGGCACCCAAATTTAACCTACTACTCCCTCCATAACATTTTTACCCACTTTAGCATTGAAATCCCCAACCACCATTACTCTCACACTTGATCAAAACTCCCCACGCATTCACTCAACATTTCCCAAAATCTCTCTCTCTCCTCTACACTTCTCTCTTCTCCAGGTGCATACACGCTTATTATAACCCACTTTTCACATCCAATCTTTTTTTTAAACTCCACATAATCCTTGAATTAATACATTTATAGTCCCTCTTTTCCTGCCATAGCTTATCCTTCAACATTATTGCTACTCCTTCTTTAGCTCTAACTCTATTTGAAACCCCTGACCTAATCCCATTTATTCCTCTCCATTGAAACTCTCCCACCCCCTTCAGCTTTGTTTCACTTAAAGCCAGGACATCCAGCTTCTTCTCATTCATAATCATCCACAAAACATCTCTTTCTTATCATCTGCCACAACATCCACGCACATTCAGACTTCCACTTTGACAATTTTCTTCTTTCTTATTCTTTTTAGTAATCTTTACAGGAAAAGGGGTTACTAGCCCATTGTTCCCGGCATTTTAGTTGACTTTTACAACACGCATGGCTTACGGAGAAAGATTCTTATTCCACTTCCACCATGGATATAAAAGAAAATTAATAAGACAAGAACTAATTAAATAGATAATCAAAGAAAACTCAGATGAGTGTGTATGAATAAATGTGTATATGTATGTGTAGTGTTATAGGTAGTAGGTTGGTAGACAGCAACCGCCCAGGGAGGTACTACCGTCCTGCCAAGTGAGTGTAAAACATAAGCCTGTAATTGTTTTACATGATGGTAGGATTGTGGTGTCCTTTTTTCTGTCTCATGAACATGCAAGATTCAGTACGTCTTGCTAATTTTACTAACACTTAGGTCACACTACACATACATGTACAAGCACATATATACACACCCCTCTGGGTTTTCATCTATTTTCTTTCTGGTCTTATTCTTGTTATTTCCTCTTTTCTCCATGGGAAGTGGAACAGAATTCTTCCCCCGTAACATGCGTGTTGTAAGAGCCCACTAAAATGCCGTGGGGCAAGGGCTAGTAACCTCTTCTCCCGAATATTACTAAATGTAAAAGGAGAAACTTTCGTTTTTCCTTTTGGGGCACCCGCCTTGGTGGAAACAGCCGTGTGATTTAATAAAGAGAAGTAGTGTATGTGACTAAGTAATTGAAGTCAAGACATGCCTGTAAATCTTGCATAATTTATGGACAGACAAAAGACATCACAATCCTACCATCTGTTAAAACATTACAGCTTTCGTTTTACACTCACTTGGCAGGACGGTAGTACCTCCCTGGGTGGTTGCTGTCTACCAACCTACTATATATATATACACATACATACATACATGCATGCATACATACATACATACATACATACATGTATATATATTTATTTTTTTTTAAATTCTTCGACACTGGGAACAAGTTTGCGAGCAGGGGTCACAACAGTGAAAGAGTTAAATCCAGGAGAAATTTTCTTCTGCTTGCTCATGTAAGTTCCACATGACAACTTTTTCTAAAATATACCTGTCTCCTCACCATTACACATTTGCCCTGGCTTGTTGCCATAAAGTGAAAACTATCTCGCACAATATCAAAGCAAGTTTTTGCTCCCATCATACAGTATCTTTTAAAAAATTTAAATAGAGCATTATAGAAAACATGAGTCTTCACTGCATGAATTATATGAGCTTTATGTATAACCTCTAGTCACTTCGCATTACATATTCCATTCCTGTAAGGAAATAATTATATAAAAAATTTTGAAGAGCAAATCAACTTTTCTTAGTGTCTCTGGTTTGAGATCTTTTATTTGGCTTTAAACTACCTGATATGTATAAGTAATCAAAAGTTTGTTGTATCTTATTATTAAATGCATCAAAATATATTTCAGAATTTTGCTAAAAAATAATATACGGTATTAAATATTACCTGGAGTGCATGCTTGGATGCTGTATAAGCAGCTGACATGGGTACCCCAAGCTTGCCAGCAGTGCTCGAGGTCACTGCGAAGTGACCTTGACCTTTCTCAAGGAAATACTTAGAAACAATGCGAGCCAGTGAAATAAGTGAGAAAACATTCAGGTTAAACAATTCTCGATCCACATCCAGTTCAATCATTTCCCAACGGCCACGTTGTGTGCGTCCAGCATTGCTCACAAGAATGTCCAGCTGAAACATGCATACGAGAAAAAATGAAAACAAGTGAAGTTTTAGTTTATATTGGTTACAGAAATAAGAGCAATAAGGAAGTTAGCAGAAAAAAAGAGATCATTATAGCTATATCAAAATAAATTCGCCAAAATCATCAGTATAATAAAATTGGTGTTCAGGCTTTAATATTTTGAAAACCCAGTTTATACTAAAAAAGTTAATGGTGGCACAAAAGAGCACACTGATATGCGAGTTATTCGCCTGCCATTATTATAGCTACCCACATCTTACACTTTCATGTGGCACACTGCCTCTCTCAGTCAATGTCCTGATCCAAATAGTATGCCTCTAGGCAAGGGGTGGTGAACCCTTTTTTTTTTTTTTTTGAAAGCGTGCTCAAACTGGTGAAAATTTTCTGTAAAATTTTGAGCAGCAGGTTTTACGTTATTGTTAGTAGTAACAGTATGTTGTTATTTTTACAGTTTTATGGAGAAAGAGAACAAAATACTTGAGAGCAGTCTAGAAGTCTCTAGAAGTCTGTTTAGACCACCACTAACTTTTCTGAATTGATTTAAATGGAATAGCCTTACGAATTAAATGTTGCTTGTAATTAACAATTTGCAACAGGTAAAATTAATGAATAAGTGACTATAATAATGGACCTTAAAAATACCAACGCATTTCTAAAAAGTCTAAACTAGAAACAAAATAATATTTTTAATTCAGCTTTAAGAAAATTATAAATATTGAATCTATTTCTTGACCAAATGCTACCAAACAAATGTCAGCTCTCTATACACACATAAAATATATACAAAGTATGAATGTATTTGGTAAAGAAACCGAGAAAAAATATTTATAATTCAGCCTTAAGAAAATTACAATTATTTAAACTCTTTCTTGATCAATGTCCACCAAGAAAAAAAGTGAACTCTCCATAAATGCATAAAATTAACATGTACAAGAAATAAATGTTTTTAGTAAAAATTGGGAATAAATATACAGTGGACTCTCGAGTTTCATAAGCCTCGCGCTTCATAAATTTCACCTTTCAACAACTTGTTGTATATGTGTATGAAATTTGAGTCTATTATCGAGGTGGATTCCTAAGAATTTTCCATGGCTAGGCTATAAGTTCTGACAAATGTGTGGCTGAAAAATTTGTGCAGGAATTCAAGGGCTGTGTAGAGGCTGAGGGATTCGTCACCTAACAAGTGTTCAATTGTGACGAAACAGGCCTCTTTTGGAAGAAAATGCCAGAGGACAGACATCATGCAGGATTAAAAGGCACTGCCAGGACACAAGCCTATGAAATACAGGCTAACTCTCATGTTCTGTGGTAATGCTAGTGGGGATTTCGAAGTGAAGCCTTTACTGGTGTATCACTCTGAAAATCCCCAAGTGTTCAAGAAACACAGTGTTGCGAAGAGTAAATTGTGTGTGATGTGGAAGGCTAATAGTAAGGCATGGGTCATGAGGAAAATTTTCCGTGATTGGTTCAATGAAGTGTTTTGCCCGAGTGTGAAGAAATGCCTCCTGGAAAATAAATTGCCACTCAAGTGCCTCCTGGTAATAGACAATGCTCCTGCTAATCCTCCAGAATTGGATGACCAAATGGTGGAGGAGTTTACTTTCATCATGGTGAAGTTCTTGCTCACTAATATCACTCCTCTCATCCAGCCCATGAACCAGCAGATCATTTCAAACTTTAAAAAACTCTACACAAAAGCAATAATTCAAAGGTGCTTTGATGTGACCTCAGACACTCAATTGACCCTATGAGAGTTCTGGAAAGATCACTTCAATATCCTCCATTCAATCGAATGAGTACAAGAAACTGCCCATTCACCTATTTCAACTACCCAAAAAAGTGGCCCGAAATTAGTAATTTGGCCAATGTCACACAAATTTCAAAAGATGCCTATTTCAAAATAGGGTCCAGAATAAACAATGCAGACATTCCTGGCAGTAAAATAACATTTTCTCTGTTCATTAGTCACCTCTCCAGGTCCCTCTTGCTTTCTATTTTGAATTTTTATTCACACAAAAAATTGAATAATTTACTGATATGCAGACTACTGGATTATTGTAATAATTGTATAAATAATGTCAACCAATTCATGACCATGTATTAGACTGGCCAGTTGGACATGTATTGGATATGACGTCATTCGTTTACTCTTGAACATCAGCAAAGAATTGAACATTTCTGCTGCTTTGAGCTAAATTTCAAGGTACTTTCCATCATGAAACCAATCAAAATCATATCTATTTCTGTAATATAATTTCCATTCTATCAAATGAGAAGAAGGTTGGTGTAGTGACCCTGAAAAATTGAAATTATGTTAGTTGAAATTAATGCTGGATTAAATAACAAAAAAGGCGTAATAAAGTTGGTAGAATTACCGACAATATGTAAAGTAAAAGGACACAAGTGCAACTAATGTGACATTTATTGTGTAATGGCTTGATAAAGCTCCTGGAGAGCGAAACGTTGCCACAATAAATGTCACATTAGTTGCACTTGTGTCCTTTTACTTTACAACAAAAAAGGCACAATACCATGACTGGAACGATACACAAATAACCCGCACATAGAAGAGAGGAGCTTATGACGACGTTTCGGTCCGACTTGGACCATTTACAAAGTCACAAAAACGAGAAGTGGAGCAGGACGAGTATATATAAGGAGGAGTAGAAGAAGGAGGAGTAGGAGGGAGGGAGGGAGGGAGGGAGATGGAGGGAGGGAGATAGAGGGAGGGAGGGAGATAGAGGGAGGGTGGGTGGGTGGGTGAAGAATAATTGAGGAGGAGGAGGAGCCAGTCAAATACAAAGAAAGGGGAACACTGAAAGAAAGCTAGGTGCCCACAGAGGGAGAGCAAGTACACAGAGGTGGGGGGGGAGAGGAAGAGATACATAATGAAAGAACAGAAACACAAGACAGAAGAAAGACAACCCAGAAGAGAAAAGAAGAAAAGGTATTGTGCCTTTTTTGTTATTTAGGAAAGGGGAAGAGGGAGAAGAAGAAAAAAGGAGGAATCAGATTAAGTCACGAGTGTTCTGAAGTTTGAAGCATTTTAAAATGTAGTGGGAGAGGAAGGCATCTACAGAGACAAAGCCAGGACTAAGATTCATACAAGGAAAGTTGTGTATTAGGGAGGATTCAACCAGACGGCGACTGTTAAAGTTGGAAGTAGGGAAGACAGTTTTAGCAGAAGACCAGTCAATAGGATGGCTGTGATCTCTGACGTGACAGAAAAGAGCATTATTAGTGTCGGCAAGCCTAACACTATTTTTGTGTTCCCTAAGTCTGTCAGATTACTGATGGAACTGGATAACTGATGGCTGAATTAGTGATGGCAAACCTGTATAATGATTCACACCACTGGATTCTTCAAAACCCAAAACATCCTTAACCCTTTGACTGTCACAACCTCAAATTCTGAAGTGTCTCCTGGTGTCGAAAAATTTTCAGGAAAAAAAAAATCTTATGAAATGAGAGAGAATCTTTTCCCGATGGTAATGACACAAAAGGACAAAATTTAATTGAAAACTAATGGAATTATGCTCCTGTGAAGTTAGCGATCTCAGCGATATATACGCATTGGCGATTTCACCAACTTTGAGCCCTGTTTTCAGCCAATTCCATTGTTCCAGCCAACCAAACTCATAGCTATTTCTTTAGAATTCCATTTTACTATCAATTGAGTACAAGAAACCGCCCATTTACCGATTTCAACTACCCAATAAAGTGGTCAGAAATTGGCAATTTGGCCAATTTCACACAAATTAAAAAAGATGCCAATTTCAAAATAGGGTCCAGAATAAACAATGCAGACATCCTTGGCACTAAAATAACATATCCTCTGTTCATTAGTCACATCTCCAGGCCCCTCTTATATTACTCTTGCTTTCTATTTTGATTTTTTATTCACACAAAAAATAGAAGATTTACTGTTATGCAGACTACTGCATTATTGTAAAAATGGTATAAATAATATCAGTGCACTAGCAAAAGAGTATCAGACTCCTCAGTTGACATGTATTGAATGTGTGGTGTAATTTGCTTACTCCTGAACATTGGTAAAAATTGAACATTTCTGCTACTTTGAGCTCAATTTCAAGATTGTTTTCTTCATGAAACTAATCAAAATCATCCCTATTTATGTAATATGTTTTCCATTCTATTAAATGAGACCAAGAAAACGAGAATACAACCATAAATACTATAGGAAAATACACCTCAAAGTCAGCGTTTTAATCCAAAAACATGGTCGGAGTTTTTTTCTCACATTATGCACTGCGTGCTGCAGGGTTTTTTTTATACAGTGCATACTGACCACACAGACCCATTCTCTCACATGGGGCCTACCAGCTTTCTCCTGATTGATTTGAAGCCGCTAGAATTTTTGAGTATATATACGTTTGAAACACTGGTTCGTAAGACGTATATATACGGCCGAAACAGTCAAAGGGTTAACCATGTACCAGCCTGTATCAGAACCTGGGGTTATCTCTGTTAAAAAAATGAGGATACTCAATTAACAGGCGCCCTCCTTGATAGAGAGGCGCAGTCTGAAGGACTGCATGATGGGTCATGGCTAGAATATGTAACTAGATACAGATATCTAAGGCTTTGAGGTCACACTACTTGGACTTTTTGGTAACAAGATTTTGTCGCCAATACAAAGAAACACTGAGAGAACTTAGTTGTGGTAGATTTTCATCCCAGGTATAGTGCTAATGTTAAAATTGTGAAAATGATATATGTTGCTTACATCAGATCATTGGCTGATTATGCCTCACCATTACTTGCTCTTTTATCAGACTGGAAGCTTGGAGGACTGGAAACAAAGAAATAAGGATCATCCAAGGATGCCCTCATACTGCTAAAATTCTAACCGGAGAGAACTTGCTATTCCAAGAATCAAAGATCATGTCACTGAAAGAAATGTCTTCACTGGGGTAAATATGCTCAGACAAGCCCATTCAAACCCTTGCACAGAAGCCCTTCAAGCTTTCCTAAGCAGTGGCAAGCACTTCTCCAGGTGGAGCATAAAAATTGGAACTGACCTCTGTATGAACCAGATACACAATCTATGTCAAGAAGGGTACAGTGACACTTTCCCATGCCAGAGTGATGGCTCTCAAAGAAATTGGAGCATACATCAATAACTGGGTCTCTACCCTTCAAACTGAACCATTTGGCATACTCCTCACAGTCAAATGTGTCCATGTATCAAAGGTTGACACTTTAATTGTAGCTGATGCTTTATCACCCATAAATGTTCTTAATACCTTAAGTACCAATTGTGGCATGCTTGTGTCAGAAGCCAGACACAAGCATAGGAGTGTGGACTGTGGAGTCAGGATACACTTGTGGATTTCATCTCACATTAGTCTTTTGATGCATGATAATACTGATGAACTGGCTAAGTTACATGCCTTCAAAGAGGGAATAAATTACTTTCTTGGGCTGTCAATTAGCAGTTTGAGAACAATATGAAAAGAACTCAACTTGAACTTCACTGACTTCAAACTGAGGCAGACTGACCAATCAATCCATCTATCATCATTCTATCATGCAGGAGGAACTGCATGTCTATGGTGCATCCAACAAAAAAAGCAGACTTTTGGATGTCACTACCACCCAGCTCTGGCTGGGTTACCAGTATCTCTGGGAGGTTATATCACCACCACCAGACGTAGACCAAACTAAATATAAACTTTGCCAGATGGACAACTGTCACACCTTACACTGTTATGTGCTGAAATGCGATAAAATTAATGAATTCAGAGACAACTCACTCAGAAATGTTTAAGAATAGTCAAAGTATTTCATTCACAGAGGCATATTATTATCAACCATTCTGGAAAAATACCCTCACTTTACCACTGTAAATAACACATGACCACTTAAACTTTCTTTTTTTTACAAGCATGCCATGCTACAATATAATAAAATATTTTTGTAATATTTTTTGTGACCTAATTCATGTCTCCATAAATAACTCACTATGTTTGTAGCCAGCCTAGGTAGTAGGTTGGTAGACAGCAACCGCCCAGGGAGTAACTACCGTCCTGCCAAGTGAGTGTAATTGTTTTACACGATGGTAGGATTGCTGGTGTCTTTTTTCTGTCTCATACACATGCAAGATTTCAGGTACGTCTTGCTATTTCTACTTACACTTAGGTCACACTACACATACATGTACAAGCATATATATACACACCTCTCTGGGTTTTCTTCTATTTTCTTTCTAGTTCTTGTTCTTGTTTATTTCCTCTTACCTCCATGGGGAAGTGGAACAGAATTCTTCCTCCGTAAGCCATGTGTGTTGTAAGAGGCGACTAAAATGCCAGGAGCAAGGGGCTAGTAACCCCTTCTCCTATATATATTACTAAATGTAAAAGGAGAAACTTTCGTTTATCCTTTTGGGCCACCCCGCCTCGGTGGGATACGCCCGGTGTGTTGAAAGAAAGAAAGAAGTTTGTAGCCAGATATAAACATTAAATAGTTCATTACCACTAACTTGTTTAGGAAACAAAACTTTGCAGTCCAGTCTCCGGACCCATTATGTGCCTCTGTAATCTTTTGACTACCACCCACACTATGGGTATAGGCTGCATAATAAAGATCTTAAACTAAATAACTTACCTCACCATAGTGTCTAATGACAGCATCAAAAGCTGCTTGATGTTGGTCATACTGAGTCATATCTAGAGGAAGAACTAACACATCATTTTCTTGTACTCCACCAGTATCTGAAAGAAAAAATAATGCTAAGTTATGGAGAAAATCCAAATAAAATGTATAACTGCAAATATGAAAAAATCTAAGTTACCAAATATGCAGGAATACCTGTGTGTGTATTTTAATGTGCTCACACACACATTTCTTTAGAGGAAGAAGAAACAGAGTCAAGGGCAGCACATTTACATGCTCCTAAATGAAGACGCACCTCAAAATCTTTTTTTTTTTTTTTAACAAGTCGGCCATCTCCCACCGAGGCAGGGTGACCCAAAAAGAAAGAAAATCCCCAAAAAGAAAATACTTTCATCATTATTCAACACTTTCACCTCACTCACACATAATCACTGTTTTTACAGAGGTGCTCAGAATGAAACAGTTTAGAAGCATATACGTATAAAGATACACAACATATCCCTCCAAACTGCCAGTATCCCAAACCCTTCCTTTAATTGTATTTCCATTATTTCTTATGGGAAACACTGCTTTGCCTTTCAAACTTTTCGAATTTAAAACCAGCTCCTGGAACGGATTAAGTTCGAAATTTGAGATTCCACTGTATAATAATAATAATAATAATAATAATTGTTATTATTATTATTAATTCAGGGAAGTGGAGCACAGATCCAATTCCCTTGATCAAGAGCCCCTCACCAAGGAACCTCCCTTGAGGGTGAAGTTCACATCCTGAAATATCGTTCGTATCCAGAAGCAAAAAAATCGATCAAGTGACTGTTTGTATCCTGAAAAATTCGCATGGTGGAGCATTCGTAAGCTGAGGTTCCACTGTATTTTAAAATTTGTGTGAAATTGACCAAATTACCAATTTCTGATCACTTTATTGGGTAGCTGAAATAGTTGATTGGGCAAATTCTTGTGTTCAATTGATAAAATGGAAGGCATACTAGTGAAACAGCTAAGAATTTGATTGACAGTAAAACTGGCCTAAAATAGGACTCAAAGTGGGCAAAATCACCGATGCGTAAATATTGCTGACACAGCAAAATTCGCAAAAGCATATTTTCGCAATTTTCCATCAAATTTTGTACTTTTTGCTTTATTGCCTTCAAAAAAGATTCTCTACTATTTCATAAGTAATAAAAAATTTTTTTTGAAAATTCTTTGACAATGTAAACAAGTTTCAGATCCGAGGTCTGGACAGTGAAGGGGTTAAGAAGCTATTTGTTTCTTGTATTATGCTTATGAATCTTTGAAGCTATCTAGAGAGTGTTTCAGAACTGGGTTTATATTTGTATTGTCTTGCATATATAAAGTATGTACAGTAGTATAAATGAATGTTTTGTTAAGTTTAAATTTTTGAATAGTGGTAGTGAGTGTTGTCTAGCATCTGCTGGAGTGACCATTCGAACAGTCACATTTTACTGAGCAACTACTGGCTATAAATGATTTGTTGTAGTAGATCCTGGGGCACAAATATCATAAGTGAAGTAAGGATAGATCAGAGAGAAGCACAAAGTAATGATGATTAAAGCACAGTAACATATTTTAGAGAGGATACCCACAGTTTGGAGACCTTCTTGGAAATATGCTTGATGTGTGTGTGTGCTAATTTTAAATGGCATTCAAGGAACAGAACAATGATCTTATCCTTCATCTTTTCTAACAATGAGTAAATCATTTACAGTTATATTGATCAAATTTAAGGTCCATTCCCAAACATTGATCACAAATTTTTGTTAACCCATTCACTGTTCATCACGTAGATCTATGTTACTGATGCCAGATTCCCACACGTAGATCTACGTCTTAAGCTCAATTCACTTAGCTAAGCTGAGAATGGAAAATTTTGGCCTAGATATACAAGAATGGGTCTATGCAGCGAGTCTTCAAAGTATAAAAAAAATCCTGTCCCACACGGTGCATGATGGGAAAAGCAAAACTCTGACCCTGAGTTTGGTTTTAAAATAGCAATTTTGAGGTGTTTTCTAAGAAGTTTTCTATGGTTTTACTGGCTGTTTCTTGTTACTGATATAAAAGAAGACATACTACTGAAATAGAGATGATTTTAGTTAGTTTCAGGTCCAGAAATACCCTGAAATAAGCAATTAGTAGAAATATTTGTCTTTTTTCCAGTTTTCCCGAGGACAAGTAAGGCCCCCTTTCATCCACATGGTTTTGTGGGCTTTTGAAAGGTCTTATTCAATTTTTGGAATGCCATCATGGTCAATTATTCCTGGTTATATTTAATTACACAAGAAGCAGGGTAAATCTTAAATTTTTTTGTGATGATGAATTCAAAATGGAAGGCAAACTAGCTAGTGGAGTCTTCTGCACATTTCTTTATCACAGTGAACATTTCTTTCTGTTTGTAAGAAATAATCCATTTCCATTCCTCACACACTCCCAGGTATCTTAATTCACTGGAGGGTACGTTGTCTTGCTAGACAAGTGCTGAGAGGTTTATAGTGTGAATGCTGTGATGTGTGGTTATGTGTCGAGTGTAGTTTTAAGTGAAGTGATGGGCGATGAGGTGTTGCAATTAAAATGCAAAGAGTTATTATCACTTTTCTTGAATTACCTCAAAACTAATAATGCAAAGAAAAAAAATTTCTTCAATATAAAATGTATTCATAAATAAAATGCTATAACCCACATACAGAACATTATTTACATACATGTTGAACCAAGCTAATGATAGGTCTGTGAGATCCTGCATTCTAAGCTATTTTTCATCTAACAAACCCTACTTACCAATGCACCTCTGCTTGACTTTATTGAGGTTCTCCACTGATCGAGCAGATATAGCAATCCTGACTCCGGCTTGGGCTAACCTAACGGCCAGGGCTTCTCCAATTCCACTTGAAGCTCCAGTGATCCAAACAACACGTCCTTTGAGACTTTCTAAAAAAAATAAATTCAGTCAATATTTTAAAAAAAAATTAAAAATGGAAACATAAATAACTAACAAAACTGTTTATAAATTTTATATGGTACAAAAAGAGTAACAAAAAAAATTAGGAAATTATGCAAAATTTTCTTTTTATTCTACATTAGTCCAGCAGAAAGGTGAAAGTCTTTTGTGTATTTTATATGTATAAACATGAAACTAACAACTGAAATTTACAAATTCTTTTGGACTATATACTGTGGGCAACAGTAAGTTAAAAAAAAGTATACAGAGGTGACCTAATATTTGTCTACTAAGCAAAACACAGTGGTACTAAATATTATTATTAATGAGGTATGCAATTATGATTGATTAGACAAATTACAGTACTATAAGTTATTTACAATAAACAAAGTTGGGATAATTTTCTAGAATAAACGCAAATAAATCAGTGCAAATAAAATATTGTATTTAGAAAATTCTAAAATATCTATGAGTGAGATATTGCCAAAATCTTGGAATGTTTCCATATTCAAACCAATAACAATGTAGAATGTGATGATTGTTTCACTAAGTATACACATAAGCTGGTCTACAGCAGTTGGTGATGCAAACCACCAGAGTTATTTATAGCCCAGCCCAAACCAGGCATATTGGTATTGAAGAGTCTATTAATTTTATTGTACATGCCTTAACCCTTTTACTGTCTGTCACAGAGATCTATGTCATTGACACCAGGGTCCCTCACATAGATCAAAGTTTTAAGCTCAGCTCCCTCAGATGAGCTGTGAGCAGTAAATTTTGGCCAATATATGAGAGGATGAGTCTGTACTAAGTGTGCACATTGTAAAAAAAAAAATTGCCCCATGCAGTGCATGATGGGGAAAAACAAAACTAAGACCCTTTTGGTTAAATTTGAGGCATTTTCTAGTATGGCTTTATTGGCCCCTTGTTATCATTTAATAGAATGGAAGACTTACCAATGAAATAGAGATGATCTTAGATGCAGGATGGGAAGTACGTTGAAACTGGGTTCAGTAGCAAAAATATTAATTTTTGCCAATTTTCCTGAGGATGGGCAAGACCCCCTACTCCCCTGGTCTGGTTTTATGTTGTTTCACTAGGTCTGATTCAATTACTGAGATGCATTAAACATGACCAATCATTTCTGGCTATATCCAAGAAACAGGGTAAACCTTCAAATTTTTTGTGTGATAATGTATTCAAAATGGAAAGCAAAGTGTAATATAGAAGAAGCGTGACTAGTCACTAAGAGTGTGACTACCGAACAGAAGAAATATTTTTTTAGTGCCTGGAATATCTACGTCTTTATTTCGGACTCTTTTAAATTTTGTGAAAAATTTATCAAATTACTGATTTCTGTGTACTTTATAGAGTAGTTTTGATAGTTGTGCTCAGGTGGTAGAATGGAAGGCATACAAGCAAAATAAGTAAGAATTTGATCAAACTGAACAATGAAATTGGATTAAAATAGGACTCAAAGTGGGTGAAATCATCAATGTGTAATTTGCACCTAGACCACCAACATTGCACCTGTTTAATTTTCTATTCAATTTTGTATTTTTGGTTTTGTTAACTTCAGAAAAACACTCTCTACTATTTCAGTAATTTTTTTTTCTAAAAAATGTGGACACTGAGAGCAATATTAATTTCATGGGTCTGGACAGTGGAAGGGATAATTAGAGGGTTCACTGTGCTTTCCTTTTCTCAGGAGATGATTAACCCCAGGTCTTGACATTAATCCAGAACAGTACATCACTGATATTAGGTGCATCTGGGGAAAAGGGAGTGCTCAGATTTCAAAAATATAAGATAACTGAATAATTTTTGCAATATCTCTGTGTCCTTCTATGTGCACACTATAGGATTTTTGAAAATTTTTATCTTAAAATCATTTTAATGATATCTAGGTTATTCTTCATAAACAATTGTTAGAAACAAGAAAAAATTGGGGCATGGAAATTTAATGAGCTGATTTTAAACAAAATCCTGTTGCTAGTTTTCAATTTAAGGGTCAAGCATTGAGTAAAAAAGAAAAAAACTTTCGTAAAAGGAAAACACTCCACATTTTATGATTGACTGTATCAAACAACAAAAATACCACACACACACCAAATAGCCATATTAACCCTTTCAGGGTTTCGGCCGTACTAGTACAGCTTACGCACCAGGGTTTTTGATGTACTAGTACACCTAAATTCTAGCGCCCTCAAATCTAATGAGAGAAAGCTGGTAGGCCTACATATGAAAGAATGGGTCTATGTGGTCAGTGTGCGCGGTATAAAAAAAATCCTGCAGCACACAGTGCGTAATGAGAAAAAAAAACTTTGAACGTGTTTTTGGATTAAAACAGCGACTTTGCACTGTATTTTCGTATGGTACTGTTGTATTCTAGTTTTCCTGGTCTCATTTTATAGAATGGAAGACATATTACAGAAATTGAGATGATTTTAACTGGTTTTACAATGAAAAGTACCTTGAAATTGAGCTCAAAGTAGCAGAAATGTTCAATTTTTACCAAAGTTCAAAAGTAAACAAATCATGCTATGCGTCCAATACACATCAACTGGTGAGTCTAATATTCTTTCACAAGTGCGCTGATATTATTTATACCATTTCTACACTAATGCAGTAGTCTGCATAACAGTAAATCTTCTATTTTTTGTGAGAATAAAAATTCAAAGTGGAAAGCAAAAGAATGTAAGAGGGGCGTAGGGACGTGACTAATGAACAGAGGAAATGTTATTTTAGTGCCAGGAATGTCTTTCTTGTTTATTCTGGACCCTATTTGGAAATTGGCATCTTTTGAAATTTGTGAGAAATTGGCAAAATTGCTAAATTCTGACCACTGTATTGGACAGTTGAAATCGGTAAATGAGTGGTTTCTTGTACTCATTCGACAGATACAATGGAGTTCTAGGGAAATAGTTATAATTTTTGTCGACTAGTACACTGGAATTGACCGAAAATAGGGCTCAAAATAGGGCAAAATCGCCGATGCGTAAACATCGTCGAGACCGCTAACTTCGTGAGAGCATAATTCCATAAGTTTTCCATCAAATTTCATACTTTTGGTGTCATTATGATCGGGAAAAAATTCTCTATCTTTTCATAATAAAAAATAATTTTTTTTTTTTTGAAATTTGGGCAACCCTGAGAACAAGTCTGGGACAGGGCCTGGGGACCCTGAAAGGGTTAAGCCCAATAAACCTGAAGTGATCTTATTTACCCTCTGGGCTACCTTTGTAAATATTTTATCTGAGTGATTTACATGGATGCTTTGTTCATGCTAGGGTGACTGAGGTACATCCTATTATAGATGCCTTCACTGTAATATAATTTTGTAGAAGATTAGTTTTTATGTGGCAGAATATTATACAAGAATTTATTATATCTTTTCTTCACATTATCAATTTTATTACAGTTAAGGTATAAAATAAAAAAAAAATTATAAGTGGCAAACACTCAAGGATATATAAAAGGACACAGATGCAACTAATGTGACACTGTATTGTGGCAAGGTTTTGCTCTCCAGGTAAACGGTGCCACAATGTCACATTAGCTGTATCTGTGTCCTTTTATTTAACATTTTGTTGGCAATTCTACCATTATTACTCAGAATATAACTTACCAACTGGTTGACCAAGGCGCTCATACAACCAAAGGACAATGTCACAATCTGCTGGTAGATAAATGTACCTGAAAAAATAAGCAAGACTTAACATTTTATGCTACGATCATTTTATTACTACCCATACATGACTCTCGCCACAGCTACTAACATTTTCCAACAAGCATCTTGTTTGTGTGAAGTATTATAGCCTAAATAACTATTAAAGTGCTTCTCACCTTCAGGTTTATTGGTCTTAACCCTTTCAGGGTCCCCAGGCCCTCTCCCAGACTTGCCCAAATTTCAAAAAATTCCAATATTAAATTCCAATATCAACCTTGACCTAAAATGCTTTCTTGATAGTTGTGACAGGACCCACAGGCATAACACCAGACACAAACATCTCTACAACATTCCCCGTGTCCGACTAAACCTTTACAAAAATTCAATGCATGTCAAAGGCCCTAAAATCTGGAACACCCTGCCTGAAAACTCTAGAACTGCAGACACATTCATCACCTTCAAAACTACCGTTAGAAAACATCTTATCTCCCTGATACACCACATCAGCTAACTACATAATAACCACCTGGTGGTTCACACTTACACTCACTCACCCATTTGACTATAAGCACAGAAATACGAATCTTAATCTTAAAATAATGATTCCTAACTAGTCATAAGTTTGCCTGTGATACTCCAATATAGAAACTATGTATTGTGCCAAAACAAAAGCATTCATATTGCTAAACTCACAAACTAGTATTTAGTCACTTAGTATTTAGTCAACTTACTCCATAATTTGTAAAAATTTAGGGTTAAGAATTAATCTAAGTCTGCCCGAAATGCCTACCCATGCTAGGCGTCCTAGTGGCCCCCTCTGTAATTAGTATTTTATTACATGTAAGCCACACAATAACCAAAATCTGTAAACCCCACATTGTAATCCTTGTAGAGAATAAACTCGATTGATTGATTGATTGATAAATCCCATACCAATTAGTAGTCTAGTAAGGCCAACTAAAATGAACACTTACAACATCAATACTGATGTACAAAATAAATTACTGGAATGAACTATTTCTACCATTTTACACTTAGCTCGATATATATGAAAAGGACCTGGCAAACCCTCTCCAAAATTTTGGGCTCTAGAAAACTGTCTAGAAACAGAGAGATAAACTTAACTAAACCAGATGAACCTCTAGGCACGGCCAACACACTTAATGTCGTCTTCTCTACTTGTAGGATCAAAGCTAGCAAGCAAAATTCCAAGCTCAAACACTCAGTTGAAAGACTATCTCACTGGCAGCTACCCAAATACGTACTCTATACAGTGGTATCCCGAGTTTCAGCCATAATTCGTTCCAGAAGGCTGTTCGAGTGCTGTTACCGAACGAATTTGTTCCCATAAGGAATAACATAAATTAGATTAGTCTGTTTCAGACCCCCAAAAATACACTTAAAAAGCACTTACAATAATACACTTACATAACTGTTTGAGTTGGGAGCTGTATTAAACTCAGGGTACCACTGTATTTAGCTCCAACTAATTCTACTGAAGTCTCACCCTTCATTAAATCATTAAAAAAACAAATCAGGAGATCTACTTAACTTGCCACCATTCATATATAAAAAAGCAGCTCATGTGTTGTCACCCATTACTGCAAACCTGTTTAACCTGTTAACCGTCCAGATGCAGATTTATGTTCTTTCCGCTAGAGCTTTAAATGTAGATCTACATTTTATTTTTCATGCCTCCAAATTTGGTATGATTGGCCTGAGATGCCTGGCCAGCAAAAATGGGTCTTAACATTCAGTGTGTGCAGCATTAAAAAAAATTTCGGACCACTTAGTACCTTGTGGGAGCACCAGTTCAATTGAGCACCAGCTAGAGCAAACAATGTGGTAAACACCTGGGATTCACTGATGTTATGTAGTATTGACACTCCCAGTAAGAGGAAAGTGATGTTGACCCCGAGTTTAGTGGCTCTGAGGTGGATGTGGCCACAAATGGTCGAGGAAATATAAAAAAAAAAACCTCGCTAATAACCAATGTGTAATATTTGCACAACCCCCTTTCAATTTTGGTACCACTAGTAGTGTCATCCTGCCAGAATGTCTTATAACCTATGCCCTAAGTAAAGAGAAAATTCTGTAATGTGTTCGGTAGGCTGGCTGGGTGGCTGCTTGGCTGGCTGGCTGACTGATTTAGGCTGTCTCTGTCTCCGTCTGTCTGTCTGTATCTATATCTGTCTCTATCTCTGTCTATCTATCTCTGTCTCACAGGTACGCAAATACAATTACACATAGTACGTGTATAAATTACCTAGGATAATCCAAACAATCCAGATAAAGCGCTATATTGTGCCTGTCGATATAATGCACAGTATGCATGACTGGCAAGTAATATGCGTTTACCCATGCTCAGGAACCAGACATGACGCAGTCGTGTTGGTTCACAATTGGCTCTCTCTGAGACAGTGAGAGATAAGCAGACAGACAGATAAGCAGAGACAGAGATAAACAGAGAGCAAGACAGATTGAGAGCTAGACAGACAGATAGAGCTAGACAGACACACACAGAGAGCTAGACAGACAGACAATGTTTATGCATAACAGTGAAAACAAATAATGCCAGGGCCGTGGACGCTCATCAAATGTCACCACTGCACTGTCAGCAGTGGACTGACACTTGTCTTACATCATGCTTCAAGGGAACTTATTATTATTATTATTATTATATACTCCCGTATATCCAAAACATTGCCGGGACCTATAAATACTTTGTATATATTCCTAGACAATAGTAAATGACCAAGGCAGGTGTAAATGTTCACCAGTCAGTGTGTGTGACAATATGAGTACAATTTCAGATTTAGATTTAGATTTTTTATTTTGACAATACAGTACCTAATATTTGTGTCAGAACAGATTGGCTATGAAATCACAAGAACTACTATAAATTGTAATTATCAGAACATAAAACTTATATAAAATAAAAACAAGAAAAAAGTATATCGGCAACGCTTCTGCAAGCGGCAGGACTATGTTGCCGTCAGGTGAGCATCCGGCGCCAATTTCGCAGTCTTATATCTCAGCCAGTACTGGTCCTATTTTTTTCTCTTTTTTTTTTGCCTTATTACAGACAGAAAATTGCCCTCTTTAATTAAAAAAAAATTCTCAAAATATTCAGAGCGCTGGGCGAGCAAACGTAGAGCTACGTTTGGACAGTTAATGGGTTAATATATGCCTACCTCACCTATGGTATTTGTGCCTGGGGATCTACCACAGCCAACCACCTTAAACAATTAATAACCTAACAAAAAGCTGCTGTGGAGACGATTACCAGCTCCTGTGCTAGACAATACATCCCACTACTTTTCAAAAGCCTAAACCTACTAAATATACAAGACACTCAAATTACTGTGCCTACTATATATACAGAACATTAAACTCCCATATAAACCTTCTCCTTAAACTTCTCCTTGATAGCTACAACAGAATACACAGACACAATACAAAGCACAAGACACTCTTCGACATCCCTCATATCAGCCTCACACTGTGCAAAACTGCAATGCACATAAAGGGCCCAAAGATCTGGAATTCACTACCCGAACCAATAAAGGATACCCTGACCACATACAAATTTAAAGTTATACTTAAAAATTATCTCATCTCTCAATAGTAGCTAAACCAACCAAAACAACTTCAAATCAGTTTGAAGCAACTCTCCCAAACCTTATATTATATGACCTCTAGTCTATTAAACATCTGCCAATCCATAAAATATTGCTGTTTGAACCATTAACTGCAATATTGTTTTTATGTGCAACTTCAAGATAATTATTCTTATAACCCTCCACCTTGACTACCTCACATTAGTATTAAGATAAATATAGATTTATTAAAAAGTTAACCACACTTATCTTGTCTAGACTTAACTAGTTATTATATGCTAAAATTAGTCTGCCTGAAATGCCCCAGCATGATAGTGGCTTTCTTTGTACTTAACAAATAAAAATTGTAATTACACACTGTAATCTTTGCAAAGAAATAAAATCTTTATTCTTTTTATTTACTGCCCCTCTGTGGTTTAGCCAACCAAACCAGAGAAAAGGGGACATGAGTAAGTGTAAGAATTATAGGAAATAAGCCTGTGAAGTATACCAGTTAAACTGTATAGTAGAATTACTATTGCAAAAGTTACACAAAGTAGGATTGCAGAGGAACAAGGATGATTCAGAAAGAGTAAGAAATGTGTGGACTAAGTATTTTTGGCAATATAAACACAAATGCAGTATAATGTGATCCTTTATTGACTACGTTTCGCCCACTCAGTGGGCTTTTTCAAGTCACAAACAGAACTGTTTGTGACAAACAAACAGAGTTCTGTTTGTGACTTGAAAACGCCCACTGAGTGGGCGAAACGTAGTCAATAAAGGATCACATTATACTGCATTTGTGTTTATATTGCCATTGTGTCGGTATTTTATACCATTTATTTCCATAAGTATTTTTATTGAAGCACGTAAGTGATCTCTACTAAGGGTAAGAAACAGTGTGCATTTATGGATTTAGTAAAGGCACATGATAGAGTGGAGAGGGAAGCAATGTGGCAGATGCTGCAAAATGTATGGAATGAGTGGTATAATATTAAAAGAAGTAAAAATTGTACGAGGAAAGTGATACTCAGCATAGGGTATGTAAGAGAGAAGAAGACTATTAAACAGTAAAATTACTCCTTTGACAGAGGTGTGTATCATGATGGTTGTCTAATATATTGGCAGACAATGGCTGACAAGTGGAAATTAAGAAAGTGGTGCTAGAGAATCGTCCAACAAAACATTTAGCCCAAGGCTGGGCTTCATCAAGTATACAGGAATGATCAAATACACAGTGTTATAAGGCAAAAAAGCATCACAAGGTATCAGTGTCTCAGCCTTGCAGAACTAACTACAGTGAGCCCTTGATATAACACTTAAAATTATGGGCAAAATCCACTAGTTCAACTACATTTTAAATCCTACAATGTTTATTGTAGTGTATGTGTAAATTATGTACAGTACTGTACTGTATTAGGTAT